TTCTTCTTTCTGTGTGTCATAAGCTCTTGAGATGACGCTGTAAGATCCTTTGCGAGGACCACACACACGTAATCAATTTTTCGATTTCCTTAATCTCCTTACAGAATCCATTCTGTCGCGATACCGATCGATACTCCTCCATTTATACGAGATTATAGAAAAAATTAAAACGAATCCAATCATATAAATTACTTCACCAAATAAATTCTCATAACCACAAAATATATAATAGTTACACTAAAACAATGAATTAATTTAAATATTACATATTTTGACCACTTAATGATTCAATCATCAAACATTTTATGTCAATTATTTTGTGATAATTGAATTGAATCCAGTGTAGAACCACGAGATACTCGAGGTGCATTATTAAAATGAACTGTAAATTGCAGGAAAATCACCGAAAATACTCGACAGCAGTTGTGTTTAATCCAAGGAATGGCACTCGCGGGGAAAGTCCTGTTTCAGGATAATAGGACCCGCGTGTGCCACCAGGAACGCAATTTTTCCAACCTTGCCCTGCCGTTTCCTTTCGCGCACAGCACTGAATATTATATAAGCTGTGGTATAATGCCCGATTATAATAATCTTTTTGCATTGCTTTTTCCAATTTCCAACATTATAAAAAAGTTAATTATTTAAAAAATTGATTGAAAAAATAATGAATAATGTAAATAACTTTGTTTTGTTGATTGTAAGCATCAATTTTCATTAGTCACTTTTTAATAGAGACGATTTGTTTCGCTTAATCGACTCTCGCTTTGCATAAATAACTATCTGTCAGTTGCGTAATCGTCAATAAGCTAATTAGCAGTTATCAATCGGTAATTAAGTGGTTATTGAATGAAAGCCGCTTATGAAATTAGATTGATTTAAATTTAAATGGTATTTACATAAACGGCAATCCTAATTGGATCCGCTTGAGAACAGCATTCATACATAATTGATTTCCTTCGCTGTCTTTCGCTCAGCCTCACGCGAGATTTTCCATCCTTTTTCCCCACAAAATCGCGTCACCAATGTTTATGTAAACTCCTCCATCCAAATACTCACGTCAAACTGAGACGAAGACAAAATATTGCCACCACAATCTACGCAATTTATCCACATTGGTGTTTTATTTCTATTTATTTTTTTTGCTCTGGACACAGAGAGGGGAAATTTATTTTCCTTCGTCGTTTGCAACTAAACGTCATTTTTTACATTATAAAGCAGCCACTTTACATGCCCGTTCCAAGGGTCTGTTGAGTCTGAATGAGGCGCACCCCACGTTTATATATATTTTTTTTATATATTTATTCCCTCCTGAAAGCTTTTCCGTTCCAATCATTTCCTCTAATGTTCGCTTCTTAACTAAGAAATATTTTACGTTTTCATAAAAGTGAACGCGTGTAAATCGAAGGGAGAGCTCAGAGCGAAAAAAAAATTCTTTGTATTGTATATCTGTATATGTGTGTGCGCGTATATATATACACACACACAGTGGAGGTGCCCTCGGTGATGAATGGCTCGAAATAAATTTAAATCGGACGCAGAATACAATTGAATTGGAATGGCATAGCCGAAAAATAAAACACTCTTCATTGTTTCGATCCGGGAATATGTGTTTTAATAACAAAGCAATTTTCGGAGAGGGATCGTTTCCTTTTGTTTTTAATGGCCACCTCCGAAGGATCGTAATTTCGGGGTCCGTGGTTTTTCCTTTCCGATCGCACCGTCCGCATTATACCAACAAGTGCAAACCGTTTTTTCGTCTCAACCTTTCAAAAAAAAAAAAATTAAATAGAAGAGGATTTAGTATAGAATCATGTGGAACTGCCACAAATGCAAACTTTTCTTGTTCTTTTATACAACATTTCATAATACTTTATAGTAACTATAGATACAAATTACCAAATCTTTGTATTTTACAATTTTGTTAGGTAGTGGAAACGTGCTGCTGTTTAGATTGAGGTACTCGGCGTAGCTAAATATTGCGGGAATAAAATTTGAAACTGGGAAGTTTTTTTTATTTGATTTTAATGTGTTTTTTGTTGTTGCTGGAACGTTGTGAGGGTCGTGTGTGTATGGGTGAGCGCTAGCGAGGGGATAATTTGAATTTATTTTACGTAATAAGTTGTTTTATGTCTGAAGTTTTCATATCGCGATATTAGGTGTTGTATAAGGTAGGAATAACAGCTGTCCATGATTGCCTGTCTGTAAGCAGAAGTGTAAAATTTCGCGTGGATGTTGTGATAGAGAGAGGGGTGCACGCGAAAAAAAAAGAAAAGGAGGAGGAGGAGGAGGCGATGATGAAAGAAGAGGAGAGGCGAGCACGGGAATACGTAATAAAAGGTAATATTCAAAAAGACACGACTGCCTTTACGAGCGAAACGGCAAGATATAGGTTGTAACAATTTACAATGGGCGCGTACGTATACCCCGGAACGCAACAGTATGTATGTAAAGAGAATAGGGATGTCATGTAGCGGACATAAAGCAACCCAAAGTGTAACATGTGGTTTCAAGTGGTGCTCCTCGTAAAGTTGTCAGTGGGCATGTGGTGGTAACGGCCCTTACACGCGACGCATTTCAAATAAGAGGTCGCACTATAATGACAATGTGATGAGCACAGCCCCCGTGCCACGCCACGTTCACGGTCCCTTTTTAGCCCTTAACACCCCGATCGCATCCACACTATCGATTCCCAGTTCCGATTCGGGCGCACCGCCCGAAATTACTACTTTTCACTTCTTTTTTTTTTTCATCCCTACGTTCCCTTTGCCTCGAATCCATTGTTTCGATCATTCATTTGAACGGGGAGTAAAAAAGAAAGCGAAGATACGGTTGAGGAGGAGGAAAAACGAAAACGCGAAGGGCCCGAGGAGGTGATCAACGCGGAATGCGATTTAACTATACTTGGCAACGGACTCCCTAAATGGTCAAGGCACCGCGAACAACCCCCGATTGTCGGCTCAAACATAAACCAACTTTTTCCTGGATGCAGCTGCGATCATTTTAGATGCCTCATCCGAGTGTGTTTGTGTGTGTATGAATACGTGCGTAGGTATGGATGTGTGTGTGTGTGAGCGCGAGCTTTTCTTTTCTTCCTCTCCTTATTTTTATTTTCGTTTGGTCTGCGTTGCCGTATTTTTTTTGCTCCTTCGTCGTCCTTCCTTTATTTTTCGCCCGTCCCCTGCGCGGCTCGCGAAAAAAAAAGCAGTTTCTCCAAGTTAGAGAGGAGATAAGTCGCTGATCAAGAAGGCCTTAGTCAAGTTTTCTAGTTAACTCGTTGCTCAATGTTCCTTGCTCCCCGTCGAGCGCATGAGACTATGTCTACTACACACATATACCCATACGCAGCGTATAATACATACATGCACACAGACTCTCACAAATTATCCCCGGACGGCGGCTTTTATAAATTGTCCATATTAATCATATCGCGTTAAATAAATTGGTAAAAACGGCCGTGTGATTACACGTTTGTCACTCCGCGGTCGTCCCGAAACACGATCCGATCCGATCCTCTAAGTTATGTGCCGTAATAATTTCCAATGCTTTTGGTTTCAGGTATCGTGAAGATGCTCTCTGCTGGACGGATAGGTAAGGGAGTGAAATCGCGAGGGGGTGCTTCATTAATGTTTCTGATTGGGATTTTCTCTCTCTCTCTCTCTATGGGTGTGTGTGCTAGCGAATGCGTGCATGAGGCTATACTCCGTCTTACTTATATAGATACTAGTATATATATATACATGTGTGTGTATATATCTGTATGTGTGTGTGTATGAGAGAGTGAGAAAGAGAGGCTGCGGCGGCCAAATTTGAGGTCAGTTTGGTCGAGAGCGAGTCGTCAGTCAGGTTTTTGTTTTGTCACAGCCATTATAGGCAGGCATCGATACTTGTAGAAGGTTTTTCTGGTCGGTCGCGATGTATAGACTAATGAGGGTGGCAAATAAAACAAGACTGTTATAAATTATCTCGGAGTCGATTAGCCCGAGTCTATCAACCTTAAATCGAAACCTGTTATGAAATTACCGCACATGATTACTGCGCCAATGCCGGGGCTCCGGGGATAATTTGAGTCAATAAGTGCGCATCGGTCCGGTTGATTAAGGTCCCCGGGTGCAGGGAGCATCCACGAAGGATGAAGGTGCTGGGTTCAGTCATTGCATCTAACTTACTACCATTCTTTGAAAATCTTAAAAATCCATAAGACTACTGATACTTAGTAATAATAGCCAATTGACCAGTTAGATATAGTATTGGAATAAATGAAATCTTAGAAAGGTAAATTTGTAAATTAAAATTAATTTTTAATTCAATTTTAAAAAATTCTTTATTCAGTGTAGATGCATATACAATGCTGTTATTATTAAGGGGTGGCATACTAAATTAAAATGTATTTTCTTCTTCTTCTTCTTTTATAAACCTCCACTCCCTCCACTTAGCTTGTATTTTCTTGAAACATATATTTTTTAATTATCTGTCAAAGTGACATGAAATGATTTTACTGCCATCTATGCGAAAGTGCGAAAGCTGTATATACAGCTAAGATTAAGTTTAGCGGTGCTTCGTCCTTAATGAAAAGACTGTCTTCATCGAATAGTTGTTGTTAAAACTGCAAAGGATCTATTGAAATGGCATGTAGTAGTAATATATAGACATACATTGTGCACCTAGGTTTAAGATAGGCCCAGGGAAAGGAAGAGCGTCAAAGTTGCGTACTATTAACGGAGACATGAAAAATTATACGCGGCTACAAATGCACTTTGCGCAAGGAAAAAAGGCCACGTCCATTGTTTGAGGCTTTTACTCCCTTATTAGGACGTTGCATAAATTAACATCGGGCGGCGGCCGAACGGGGCAGTCACAATAGAAGACTCTGTAACAAACTGATGTACCTTTGATATCTACGCGTATAAATCTCGGGCGTCCGAACCAGAGATGATTTTTTGTGCGAAAATATACGGTGCTGTTGTATTGTTGACTAGATAGATGCAATATTTATTGTGTCCAGCAGGTTGGCAGAATGTGACGACGGCCGGTGGAGTTGCATTTCCACATTCTCGACATACATGGGTTTTAATGAGCAATCCCTCTAACTCCTCGCCGTGCGCCGATCCTCGGGACCCGAACCTGACCCGACCCCAGGTCCTCCCCTCGTCCTTCCACCCGTCCATCACCGTCGTCCCATTTTCATCACGGCAAAAATTGCACTAAAACCCATCCTCCCGACAATTCACTTCTCTCGGTCTTCCTTCTTATTTCTCCTTTATTTTCATCTCCTCCTCCTCCAGCTGTAAAACTCCAGGGATCATAAACAAGGCCACGTAAACGATGTCGCTCGAATTATTAAACAGGCAGACTCATCCCGGACCAACACACATATACATAAAAAAAAGAGAAAGAAAGAAGACCAAAACCCACACTTTTATAGCTGTGATCCTAACGGACTTTTGATAACATCCCCCATCCAGCCTGGACCAATTCCCAACCAATATGTGTCACGACAATACAAATTGCATATTGATACCCTAGGGTCTCTGACCAGGGTGCATACTCATAGCAAATACACAAAAAACATGTTTTTATTTTTTAATTTTATACCAAAAAAATAATGGAAAATGCATTTGGCTTCAAAGGATTAGAAAATCCTGTAATGTTTTTTGAGGTTGTTGCTGCAAATATATCTAGCTATATATATATGTGTGTGTGTGTGTCTTTTTTTTCGTTCAACTCTAAGTGCATTTATTAAAAGCAAACAGTTTAAAAATCAATGTTATTTCTGAAAACCAATTAGACCATAATTGGTAGTTGCGGATTGTCGAAGGCTACTCGCATATAAGGAGTTGTATTTGTTTCGAGAAACGATTGAGTACCGGCCGATATGAACCTAACGGCTGCCCGAAGAGCGTGCAAGTAGGCACCGGAGGCGCAGGCACGCGAACAAACTCGCGCTAAATGCTCTGCCAGAATGATACACGCACGTCGGACGTGTATCATTCTGGCAGAATAGGCTCATCTGAATAAATGCATGCACGGTGGGTGCCGCCACTCCATGAGATATCCGCTCATCGTCATCATTACAAGCCCTAATGAAACCCTCCGGCCCTACTCCGATTTCCAACTACAACTCCTACCATCGCCTTCTGCCCCCATTCACTTGCGGACAAGAATCCAGGGCAGGGCGGACCATCAAATATGACAGCGTGCATTCCGGCTCGGCCCATGTGCTGTTTATGAGATTTCTAACTGCCCTATAAATCAACACCCTACTCGCAAAACGCGTGTAATTAAAGGGAGCCGAGTCAATCCGCAACCACCTGACTTCCATATTCAACTTCAATATCTCTGTAGATACGATTTCACTACTTGTTACTTCAAAACTACCATCATATCTTTTGATTACATAAACTTTCATTAATTCTAATTTGTACATGTTTGTATAAAACTTCAATTAAATTTAACTAAAAATCTCATTACACAAAACTTTACCTTTATGATGACAAAATTGTTATTTTATATTTCAATTAAATAAATGGATTGTGTAATTAACAATTAAAATTATTATAATTTCTCAATATTTTGTATTAGTGCTATTATGAGCTTAATTTTGTATTTATCGGAGTTATGATTAAAGTAAAAGTGAATAGTTTTGCCAAAAACTAATGATAGTACTTTTCATTCATGAACTTTCTTTATATGAAAATGGATGAACAGATATGAATTTGACACTGAAGGTAAAGTTAAAAGTACTTATAATTCAGATTAAGATAAGTTGGAATGAAACTTGATTCTGTGTAATATATGTATGATTTCGCTGGAAAGCAATGCATTCTTTGAAGATCGAGGCGGTATAAACAATTCAAAAAGTATGCATTATTTAAAAACACCGCAAACAGTGTTTGGGGAGGGGGCAAGGTCAAGCTGACCAAAAAAAAAATGCGAGATTCTCCTTTTTCGTCGGTGACCGTATTTTTCGAAGCCGTGGTATGAAATAATCTCTAATTTTGAATTGCTAATTCGGCTCTGGATAATGACGCAAAGTCTGCCTCTATAAATCGCCTCAAAAAGTTTGCAACGAATTATTTATGTCGGCCCTGGACAAAGGCAATATCTTCGTCCGCTGGTCCCAAAACCAAGGGTTATTCACGGCCCGACATAAAGAAAACTAGAGAAGAAACGACAGAAGCTGTTTTCATGATTCAGGATATATTCCCATGACTTTCTGAGGTGAAAAGTCTAGAGGTATTAATTAAAATTAAGACGCCAATTAGAGTATTAAAGTACGGCAAAGTTGTGCAATTCAAAAAATTTGGTGAGAGGTTGAGGATCTCGGAATACAGGATTTCCTTTCTCGGAGCAAGTCGAGCTTTTTGACCAAATATAAGTTATATAAACGGCCATTGAATTGCGATTCGAATGGAAGAATGGAAGAGCCAGCGAGGAGAGGCGGCAGTTGCGGCTGCTGAGACGGGGAGGGAACGTTTAAAGTAAAATTAATAGGGGAATAATTGCGTGTGTGTTTCGGTTTCCTTTTGGCCATTGTGCGTTTGTTATTTCGTTAAATATTTATGCGCGGGATAAAGTAATGCTATCTTCGATCTACATTACATGTGATATGCTATTAATTGGCATACAGAACGAGCGATTACTTATTGGAGACAGTACAATGATATAAACAATTTCATTCTTTCGACTTTGATATCGACACAATAAATTCAATTAGGATTTAAAGATATTCTACATTGATTACGCTCGGAATTAATTCTACAAGTCCTCTGACAAGAAGATACATTCTTCGTTACAAAACAAACCAAATACAAAAAATAAATAAGTAAAAAGCAAACGCAAAATAAAAATGGCACGAGAGTACGCACTGCGAGACAAATTATTGCTTTAAGTGAAATCCAACATCTTTTCTTTTCCTTTCTTTTCTCTCCTCTTTCGATCTTTGTTTTCATCCGCGTATTCCTTATTCCATTTGGCTTATACACACATATATGCCTTGCTCATTCCATTCTGCAATCTCGCTCCCTTCGGAGGACGCACGCACGGAGACATCCCTTTCACTGCGAAGCCTCGAACTCCACTTCCATTTTTTATGTTTATTCCATGGTCTTCCGCATATAAAATATTAAATGACGACATAAATTAGACTTTTCTCTGTGTTCTGGTGCGACTGTCCTACCCTGCGCATATCATAGTAGTATTATCATTGTATTATTTACGTCTGCGAAAAGGGGGATAAACCCCTACTCGCTCTAATTTCCTTTAGTGCCTCCCCATATCCATCCAACAAATAAAACCTACATCTCCTAATTACAAAAAAAAATCTTATTTTTATTATTTCTCTTCAAAACTATACAAAACTATATTTGTTGTACAAAAAAAATCTTATTTTACAAAGAAATTATTATATTTTTATTAATAATAATAATAACATTTATTGTCACAAATCGTAACACATACTCAAAAAAAAAACATAATATAACAACGAAATAAAAAAAAACAAATAGAACTGTTACAAAAGGCTATTGACCATAGGTCTTTCTGTCCAATATTTTTATTTATATATGAATGAAATAATATAAATATTGTTAAAAAATATATAAATTTTATGAATTTATTATAGTGGTATAAATGATAAATATTTAGTATTTGAGTAATAAAGGAAATTGTGTAATTATTTTTGTGTTTCGAACAGGCGTTAAATCGCGATTTGAAGACGGATGGATGCTTTGAGATAAAAAAAATTAAGATTTACGTTTCGATTACGAGAGTCGATGAATATTCAGCTTCGTGTGTCTGAATATTAAGCACGGCGAATCGAGACAAATAAATCCGGATGGAGTCTCACCCCGGGTATGTTAATTTCTGGAACAGTGCTTTCCTTCTTCATCATCTGGACCGATGGGGCAATGAAACTGAAAGAAGAAGGAAGAAAAAAAAAACTAATAGCAGCAGCGAATTTGTAGCTTAAGAATCGGAAAGTTAATTTCGTTTCGTTATAAATCAGACGTCGGAATGCAATTTAAATTGCGCGCGAGGAGTAATTAAAAAATTGCAAATTAGGCGGGAAATTATGAATGCTCCCCGCGGGGGTTGGAATTTTTACGGGCGTCGGATGTGTATGCTGATTTGTTTTTTTGTTTGGTGCGTCGGTAGTTCCATTGCCCCTTTTTTCGTTTCTCCTGGAGTGGCTTCCTCGAGTGGAAGGAAGAATAAGTTAATTTTGTTGATGGGGAAAATATGTATAGGCTCGCATTGTGAGCGGTAATTTAGTATCATCAATTGATGATATCGAAGGTATTGGATGTTATCGAGGGGCTGGGACTCCGTATTAAGATACAGGAGTTATTTAGGGTAGAACATGTGGTGGTAGTAGGGGGATGTGACCGGGCGAATGTTGCTCACTTCTTGTCGCGATGCTGTGCGGATTACAATACCCTCCTGACTTCTGGTTTGCTTCCAGGAAACCCTCCGTCGACGACGTCGGGAATCCATCCTCAGTCAACGCACGGTAAGTTTATCAAAAGATTATTATTATTTTTTTAATTACCATTCCATCGTGCTTCTTTAAGCATGTACATAATATGTATATGTATATCTATAACAATCTCAACCGCGAGAGATGTCGAGATTCCCTCTCAACATTCTCTTCAGCGCCCATTATCCTCGGCTCCGTCGGTAATAACTACTGTGCAATGCAATTTCGGTTGATTGGTAGTAAATTATCGAACCTGTAATTTCACGGCCCCCATTGGGCATCTACCTGTACCCCGTTGCTCCGATGATCAGAGTGCTGCGCTGTACCTGCCCACCGCGCGCTGTCAATACAGATTTTTTGAGAGAACTAACAATATTGGCCCCAAAAATTTGTGCCAATCTCTCGGACGTGTGGCCTCACCCCGTTCTTCTTCCACTGTAGGTCATCCGTGTCGTACAGCTGTGTCACGTCTGCATACGTGTTTGGGGGATGTTATTAGTCTCCGAAGTCGACCGACCAGCCGCCCTCCATCGATAGAGACGTGGACAATAATTCCGTCTCCTCCGGCGGTTTTCCCACTGAAAACCGACTCCTCCAACTATGATTTGTTATTGCAACTCCCTAATCTCCGCAACATTTATCATCACGAAATATTGAAAATGCAAAGGCATGAACCACATTTTCCAAAATGCAAACGAATCCAATTAATCATTATTTTTAAAACTAGTAAAATAATTATAAATTTCTGTAATTAATACAATATACTAGTTATTTTTGCATCAATTACAATACATCAATTAAAACTAATTTTACATTTTACAAGATATGAGAATTATGAGTAGATATCTTGTATTAATGTATAATTTGTTATCTCGTCTTCATTCATCCAGCTGGAAATGTAAAAATAGTCAAAATTTAAAAAAAAAACTAGGATTATCTCCTGCAGACGTATCCGAAAGGGAAATCATTGGTATTCGGTGTTTTCCGCAGATGATTTGTTGTTTGTTAGTATAAACACCATTTAGGTCAGTCATCTCGATGAATGATGCATACCGGCGATCTCTGAAGGCCGCCTCTATCGCCTAAGGTGGTCTCGAAGGTAGACAAGAAGGCGCAGCAGCAATCCAGAGTCTGGCGGAGTTGTCAGAGGAAACCCGGCCATTTCGCCGTCCGTCCGCCCGTTGAAATCATTAATTGACGCAGCCGCCCCAAGACGCTGACCGCCGGCGCCTCTGCCACCCCCAACGGTGATTTAAAACACCGGCAGAAGTTCGCCCCCAGGGTTGAACCAACGTCTGAATATAATCCCATAATGCTCCATAGCATCTGGCGAGTTGATTCAATAAGTTCACCTCCGACGACCTTCGGTCGCCGTCCCCGGCCTCACCAAGCGTCTTCTTGTTTACATAATGACCATCGTTTAGCTGGACAGCGGGCGGCCTGCGTCCCTTTTATTTCGCCATATAAGTGTCCCAAAGCTGTAATCTATTCCCCCAATAACGCCGTAGCTGCCGCCGCCGCCACCGCAGACTCTACCACCCCCAGAACCACAACAGCTTTCCTTGTTTTTATTAAATCCCATCAATATTTATCTAATATCATTATTATTATTATATTATTATTATTACTATTTCTTCCTTCAAGTTCGGTACGAGTCGAACCGTCTTCCATCCCTCGGCCTTTTCGGTCAGCAATAAAAAACGGAATTGCGGGGGTCGGTATTAAGATAAACTTAAGGGCCCCGAGGTCCGTCGAGTATTATGGTGAGAGTAACATCGAGCATTGCCGTAAGTCGTAAAAGAGCCCTGGCCGGCCGATACTGAATCATTGATCAGCTATTACCTTATTCACGGGGTCGCTGCCAGATCATCGCCAGTTCCTACCACCGCGCCCATCAACTTCTAAATGCCCAATAACACCGGCAATAAGACTAAACTTATGGCTCCATTTCAATTTCCAATTGTAATTTTTCCTCTCGTCCAAGAATCTCATTGTTTAAGTTACCGTCCTCCGATCGCATCACATCATAACAAAAACCACCTACAAAGAAGCATAAACCTTATTCCCAGCTTTAATCAAACTACTAACATACATCTTCATTTTATTCTATTTTATTTACTTTTTCTATCCTAGTAAAATGCCATCAAAATTATAAATGATTGAACTAGTAGAACTATGAAATTATACTACAGCAAATTGATTATTTCCTTCGCATTAAATAAATCAATCTATCGTAATTAACACTGCAAAAATACCGAACAGCGCATCTCTGCAAGCCACGTTATGCAAATCGCAGTTTACCATAAGTAATTGATACTAAACATATGATACTGCCATACGCAGACCGGATCATTGTAATTATGCAAAATCCCACTGATTTAGACATAAATACTAGATCCATTTGCGCTCGGAAGAACGAAACGCTAATCGCCGTGCAATTTCAAAATTAACTTTCCGTGCACTTAATCAATTCCGCATAAGCAAATTTACAATCCACACTATTATTAGCAGATACAAATTTAACGAAGTAAAAAAAGAACTGCAACTATTTCCGTATATTACGTTTTTCGAGTATTATTGAAAAGTGCGGATTAACATAATTAATCGATAATAATTACAATAATCGTTATAGTAATGTGATCGCATTAAGATAACGACGGTTAATTTTGATCGCGCAGCTTTTTAATATAGTTACATAAGCAGCAGCAGGCTTCGAATGGACACGCGTTAGCTTCAGTATGCAAATCGTAATGTGTCGTAATTCGTTAATTCCTTAATGATATAAGAAATAGTTATTTTCCAATTGATAATGAAAAATTTGAATGTTTTAAATAATCAAATAGATTGATGCTGTTTTAGATTGGAAACATTATTTTTGATGAAATCTGACCTTTGAGTAAAAAAATCACGCGTTACGCATGATTTTTGTTTTAGGTTTTCTTCTATGAGGGAATTGTTTCGGTAAGCCCTCCGTAGATTGCTATTTATTTATAGATACATCACGTTTTCCCCTATATCGGTGGAGAGAAGCGCAGAAAAAAAAAATGCCCGTGCGTGATAGATAACTCTATAAATCACGGGGCCAGCCGCTATGTTATTGGAATATGTTCGTATTTTCTTCGTCCTCTGTTCCACTCTTTTTATATTTTCTTTTTGCTCTCTTTCTTTCTTCTTCTGGCCGGGCGAGAATTCAAAATGCCGATCAATTATTCAGGTTAAGGGGGAGGTAGTGGTGGCGGCTGAGATGCTCCTGACTCTATCTGTAATCCGAGATCGACTTAGCAAAACAATCAATTTTAAAACGGGAGGGTTATTAATGTCCGTTATGTGACATAACGTGACTTTGCGTACGGTCCCGTGCGTTGCGTGCGGGGGAGGATCAATCTTGTACATTTAGAATGCATGGAAATGTCATCGGTTTCCGAGATATTTTATGATTGGGCTTTTGGAATAATAATATTGGCGACCCCAGTTCGGGGGACAAAAAAAATAATATATATATATATATATCTGTGTGTGTGTATGTATTATATATGGATGTGACACCGTTCGACTGACCCCCTACAATCCCACTTAAATTAAACAGGATTTCGGGGCTGGAGGAAGAAACGGGGCACGGACCCCAACGTTAATCCATGCATCGGTCACGGGTCTTAGTGCGAGATTTACTTTTTAATGTTCCAGTAGCGGTTTCCAATCAAATGGACTTAGTTGTAGTCGGGGATAATTCCCCGATTAAGCACGGCAACGGTTTTCAGATGCTGCGGTCAGCTTCGGTCAACCGCACAACGGGCACACATGCATTACAGACGAAGAGACGAGCCTCGGAGGCGCACACCGGATCGGATCGGAACGGAACGGACCACGGCCGGTCGGTCGGTCCGAATTACAAATTTAAAACAGCCAATTTGGTATTACGGCCGTGGATGAATACGAATTGCGACTTTCGATACGGTGCACTTCCCGTCCGGCCAAAGGAAACGACTCCCGCAGATAGGAAAGATAGCCTTTGTTTATCACCTCAGGTCGGATGGGGATGTGGATGTGGATCAGGATGTGGATTCGGTGAAGGCGGCGCAACGAAAGTGGTGCTAATTCAACATCTCCAACGTCGGGTGACCACAAATGCCCTTCTGGATCCCGTTAAGATCCCAACCCTGACCTAGGTTGCCTCAGTGTGCGTGTGTATACATACACGTGTGCGTACTCTGTGTATATGTATATGTGTGTGTGTGTGAGAGCTGCGGCGGCGGCGAGTGCACGATCTAATACCAAAACCGATACATATTCAAGCAACCAGTTTCTGTATAAGATTCTTCGAAAAACCACCTACATTCAATACGGTTTTTTTCCAATAAGCAATCCTATTGTCAGATAACTACATCATACTACATTCTTACTGTCTGATCAAAACTCGACAGACTCGCAAAAACTAATTTACCGCACAAAAAATTCCCGCATAACAACATTCTACAACCGACTCCGCGCGCACACACACAATCGGACTCGGGGCCCTTCTGAAACCGTTGCTGCTTCTGTTTTTTTCTTTTCTTCTCCTTCTTCAACATCTCTCCATCTGAATCGCTCTGTCCTTAAATATATTTGTCTTTCTTTATCTTTCTTTATTGCCGTCTCCTTCGAGGATCGCCAATTTTTATTGATTTCGAGTAAGGATAGAAATGAAGCGTGTTGGAAGAGAAGGTATGAATAGAAAGAAGGAGAAAATGAGGCGAAAAACTACTCGAACCCGATACAAACCATTGATTTGCATCTTGCGAATATTAACTCAATAAATTTCTTACGACCCATGGCTCATTCAATTTGATTCAACTGTTATATATATATATTTTTTTTCTTATTGCTGCCTTCTTTGCAAAGCGCGTTTTTCTTCTCTTTCCTAGTAACCATGTTCCAAGGCGCAACAACTTAATTACTATTATGTAAACCATTTACGTTTTTCCGCCAGTTTCTTTAAGTCGTATTAATTGATGAAATGGATCAATAATTTTTTGTAATTAAACACAATTTCAACT